GATTTTAATAGTGGTAAGCAATTGAATATCAGAAAAAAATTGTCTTCGTGATAAAATGCTAACGCGCCTATGGGCACGAAAATGCTGACACGTTATTATTTGTATACCAACTTATACTTGTATGGGTTGAAACTGAACTGTAATAACTGGAGCGATAAAGTAAAAATGAGTGAATATGAGCGATTTGAATAGTGTTTAAAGAAAATTTAAAAAATTAAGATTATAATCAGCTTTAAATACAGCGTTCATAAAACGTTAAGTTTGTTTAAAACAAACATCCTTTACAATTTTTTTTCTTTTTTAGTTGTGGGAGTTTTGAACCCAGGGCAATATGTCAGTTTAATATTAGAATTTGTGCAATATGTATACGTATTTTTATTTTCATTATATACCTATCCCGTATTGTTATAAGCAGGGCTCGAGAGTTAAAGCATTTGCTTATTGTTATGGATTGACTTAAAATGTAGCAGAGTGCCATAGAAGTGTATGTCAAGTTATAACACGAAATTTGGAAGTGCTTTTTTTTGCTTTTTTTAGCAATTTTTCAAATAAAATGCTTATTTCCAGGTTTTCTGATTACTTTTGTTTATTTGACCTGTTTTTTTTTCCGTTTTTATAGTTTTCCCCTACAAAGTCGTTTTTGATAGAATTAAAATTAAAATTAATTTTTATCTACGTTTTCACGTAGTTCGTCGTAGGCATCGTTGTAGAGTTCCAACGCTGATAATAGAACTGAAATTCAAATGTCAGAATGATCAAGAACAGACAGAACAGTTTACATTTTATTTTTCAGAAAAATTTCTTAGAAATCCATAAAACTCTTAAAACCCTTAAAGTCTTAAAAATGAAGATTCATTTTTATTTTGTTTGATTTTTAGTTAAAATTTTATAGTTTTTTTTTTAATAAATATTTTTGTTTAATTTTAAATTTTTTAAATGCTTATATTAGTGCATATAATGATGTTTTTAAGCGCTTATTTTAATGGTCTTAAGTACTATAAGTTCCGAGCCCAGGTTATAAGTAAAATAACATTCATCTAATATTGTGTTTCGAATAACTAGCTATTAACTATTCATTATTTTAGACATTAGAGGTGTTCCGGATACCCGGCAATTAATACTGGGCCCTTATCCGGTACTTGGTAACCTAATCTGGCCTACTCAGTAATCGGCTAATAATCAAACCACGTGCACCGTATGCACGTGTGCAAAATATGCACACCCATTAGTATAACAGGAAAAATCCTGAGTTATAAATTATAATTATATATTTAGGATACGGCCCATTTACAATAGCTGGTTTCAACTGTGAAAAAATTGTGTTTTACTCTATAAATCCCGTGTCTGCTAATAAACTATATCATAACAATCTGAAATCGAAACACTTCATTCTCCATCGCCCATCAACAGTCAACAGTCATAACACGCGACGCACTTGTGGCCCGTTTATAATTCGAATAACTTGACATTTTTTTAATTTGATCAACACTATAAAATACGAATCCAATCGACGATACAACGCTACATTAGAAAAACAAAATGAAAGGAATTACATTATTCCTTTCATTTTGTTTTTGATTAATATAAACTAAAGATATTCCTGGTGCTGGGAAATTACTCGAAAGGCGAGTCCACGATGTAATGATTAGGACTCGGCCCTTACCCGGTACCCGGTGTAATATTGAAATTTTTACTAGGTCAGCAGGTACTAGGTATACAGATTGTGATCAATTTTCTACCAGGAACATCTTTAAGAGACACCTATACTTTACTGTCGGGCTACACGATGCGTTCTTGTCGGATCCGGCGGAATTCATTTTAAATTACACATTATTATCATTATCTAATTTTATTTTGGGCCACACGCCACGTTTTCACCGGTTCCGACGAATCACTGCCGCAGTGCCGTTGTCGGACGAACCCGAAGTATACATTATCTCAATGATTCTCAACCGAGGTGACATGGACGCAGTGTAGGGGTGACACGAAATCTCCACGGGAAAAAAAAAAAATAAGAAAATAATTTTATTATTACCACAACTGTCGTGCAAACTGTATACCTTTAAGTTTGTATCTTTATATTATTTATATTTATTTTTTAGATCCGATAAACACATGCAGTATTATTATTAACACGAAATTGCAGCATTATCGATCATTTTATCGACTTAACCGGAGTCGTTAGTCAATTGTTTTGCAGTCGCTAGATATGTAATATTATTATAGTACATTATAACTCTACACAACTCTAGAAGACAACTCGGTCTTTCCACCATCAGCCTTCAACTTCCTTTACTTTGTAAAAAAATCACCAGGTTCCAATTTCTCATCAGTTTGAATACAAATCATTGATATTTTTCTCTTTTTTTTTTTTTTAATTTGGCAATTTAAACTTTAAAATGTTAATGTTTATTGAACCCTGCAACTCAATAAATTGAAGGCGTACTTATTATTTTTCTGTGTACCGTATTTTTTTTGATTTTTTTTTTTTTGATATTTATTTATTTCAAGAAATATTCTAAAATACACGGTTAAAATTATTTATTATTTTGATATAAGGGTGACGCGGTGTTTGATTCTAAGAAATATTCTAAAATATACAGTTAAGATTATTTATTATTTTGATGTAAGGGTGACGCGGTGTTTGATTCTAGTGGCTAAAGGTGACACGAACGAAAAAAGGATTAGAATCACTAGATTATTTCAATACTCATAAAATATTATTTTATGATATTAAATATTAACTATTGCAGTGTTTGAAGTCAAAATCTTCTACCTAAATGTGATGGTATAACTTTAAAAATAACACAATAAAAATGATTAAAATCGTAAAATATTAAATTTATTTATTTTTGGAGTTAATATTTACAATATTATATCTTTATATTTCGTTTAAAAGATGGTACTTTTTACAAGAACAATTTTCCACTCCAGAACATTTTCTTTTTCTTTGAAATTCTAAACCCTCTCCTGGATATTATTACGTATTGATATTGATGTAATTGTATATTAATAAATGTACATTTCTGACTCCGGACCCAAAGTCTACCGGTTTTCAGCTAGTAAAATCAATTGTGTTCGTTGAGTGTTTATCTCTGTATTAAAATTGTTCATTGTATCCATTAGATGAGTGGTATATTGTAAATGGTTAAACGGATTACGTACGGTGATGGGAACGTTAGTTTTTAAACTTAACTTTCCTCCTAATTCAAACACTGTTTTATATTAGTTAACTGTTATGTTATTGATCGATTAGTTAAAATTAGTTTTGTAAACCATTGGCTAATGTTTTCTCGATGGTCTTGTTATTTTATATTAGTTTTGCGTTTTAGAACGTGTAAAAATGTATTTATTTTACGTATACGCGAATAATTCGAGTACTCGCTAAACTCAGGTACACAGAGCCGCATTTAGGGGGGGGGGGGCACTGGCGAGGAAGTAAGTATCGACAAGACGAGTCCCGGTGATATAATTCAGCGGTCGCCAACCTTTTGGACCTCACGGATCACTAAATACATACTCTAAATTCTACGGACCACTTTTAGCTTAAAATAGCTTTTTACATAAATATCGTTAAATAAATCGATGAGGTATTTTTTTTCGGTCATTTTTAATTTGTTATTTTAATTGTTTGCTGCAAATGGATCTATTATTCACATAATACCATATCTAAGGTTTTATTTTTTGGGGGAAATAACGACAAAAAGATTCTGTAAGTAACGTTTAAATTTTTCTGCGGACCATCTAAATTTCTCGCGGACTACCGGTTGGCGACCACTGATATAATTTATGTAGATTCCGATATTAGGTTATGATTATCATATCCGTGTTTTGTTTTTTATTGTTCGCGTATATGCCTTACTTTTATAAAGGCTTGCCATGTTTTAAAGTACGGTTTTCATCGCTTCAAAAGACCAAAATTCATCGCACGAATTATAACCTTACGAGTGTTTTTTTATTATTATATCATAATCCATTCACGTTCTTATAGATACAATTTATTAAATCGTTCTGTGCACGTGTCGTTTGTAATTATAATAATCATAGTACACAAAAATATTAGAATATTTATACACTATTTGGTGGCACCAAATGTCATTGGTAGACCATTTTTATCATTGGTAGTCATAATTTTTATCGTTGTATACATGCGGGTTTTAAGTGTATGAGTAATTAGCAGGACTCGGAAGATCTAGCAAATGCATATTATTCTTGGTTTATCCTAGAACATCCAAAGTAAGATACAAATATGTTTCTCACTACTCGGATATCATATACAAAATTTAATTTTGCTATTTTTTTTTGCATATTTACGGGTTTTATTGCTATTTTGTTAATTTAGGGTTTATAGTGCTATTTTTGGGTATATTTTCACATAATGTAGGATATAATCTCATTTCGTTGATAATAATTGTATTTACTTAGTTATGTTTTTAAAAATATTTTAATTATTGGAAATAAATAGACCTTATCAAATATTATTTTACGTTTTCATCGACAATTTGATGTATTAATAGTTAGTGACATAATTTTTATTCCCTTATTATATCATTGTATTAGATTATCAATCATTTTAATAATTTAAGTTAATTTCCAAGGTAAATATATAAAATAATTTAATAATAAGTAAATTTTTACAAATATACTTAAGTACTCGTAATTTAACATTTTTGTTAACAGTTTATAATTTAATCAGTACAGACTGCGTCTAATGAGCCCAACAATTTGTAAAATTACATTTTTTTCAAGTTAAATGCATATTTTTTTTATTTTTCGTGCTATTTACAACGCATATTTAGAGTTTTTAAGTACATATTTAAGAGCTAAAAAGTAACATTTTTAGTCCTACAACTTCCGAGCCCTGGTAATTAGTAATAAGTAAATACGTCACAATGTGTGTAATAAAACGACCATGCGCATCGAACTTATGTAATTTGTATATTAATAATATTATTAGTGTGTGGTTTTTCTATTTTACATAAACACGTTTTTATTCGCAGGGTTACCATCCAGAGGGAGCGGCGGGGAGGACCAGTCACGAATGACTCCCGATATCAGTGGAACTTTTCGGATCCCTACCCTGTCCTCTCCAGGACCTCAATCTTCGTCAGCCAAGAGTCAACAATATGATCCGGAATATGCGAAAATCGAAGCTTGGCTCGACGAGCACAGCGAGTTCACTTCCGATTATTTTATCAGGTACAACATAAATTATTTATCACGTAAAACGCATAATACAATTCTCTCCCTCTATACATATGTATTTATTTATTTATATTCTACTAGTTAGTTATATTAATATAATTCATGTAGAAAATGGCTTGTAACTCATGTAATAAATACTCCGGTTATTATTCTAGTAAAATAAAGTTATACAAAATTTTAATACATTCCCTGTTAAAGTCTTTAATATAAAAATCTAGTTGTATTTTTACGTTTTCCGCAGAGCTATCATAAATATGTAATAATATATAAATAATTTGTGTAAAATTTAATCTAAGGGCTCATTTTTCTGATGTCCTAAGCCAGCGGTTTCCTAACTGTGATCCGCAATTGTTTCTAAAGGGCTCTGTTGGTTTTACCATAGAACATATAAAAACGTAACAATTGTTGATCGTTATTCAAAACAAAAAGTGTATATATTCTTACAAGACTCCATCACTTAAATATAACTCACCGATACGTATGCAAACAATATTGGAATCCCCAAAGGAAAATGTAATTTTTTAACTTTAGATAATACATATTCCCATCCCAGTTATTTCCCGGCCAGTTACCAATTGTATATAAATATGATGTTAAATTTACACTATCTCCTTTAAGTTTTCTCCTATACATATCATGTGCAATATGCTTTGTAGAACACAGGCTAATAAAACTTAATACTAAATATTTCTTGGGGCTCTATGAAAAAATACTGCTTAAAAAAAGGCTCCGTGGCTGAAAAAGTTTTGGAATCGCGGTCCTAAGTAATGTTACCTACATAATAACAATTCCTTCACACATATTATACCACCCGTAACTTATCAACTTTCTGTCTAAGAATGTCTATTACATTAATTATAAAAAATATGAGCCATTATACAACTTACATCCCGTTTACCAATGAGGATCTTTCTTTACAATTATTTTGTTCTATGAATGTTATTGTTACATTGACATTATATATATATATATATGTAATACAATATCATAATTTTATCACCACCTCATTATAATACTTTAAATGTTATTTTTTTATTTTTATGCTAGACCGGTTAGGGGTATTATGTAACAAACGTATTTTAAAAAAACTAATAATAACTAAAAACAAATCACTAAAAATAATCTTGTTACTTTTTAACTTAATACCCATTAAATTGATTGTATCTACATCGATAGTTATATATTATACTGGAATTCGATGAACTTATAGTAAAGTATACGATAGTAATAACAACAACATATGTATAATTTTTAGAGTGTTCGATACAAAAATAACTTATAACAAAAAATAATCGTTTATAATCGGAGAGACTTCCAGTACTATAATAAGACCGTGAGAAAGATGTAGTTTTTCGAACAGTACTGTCAACAAATTATATAAACATTATGTAAGGTAACCATTGTAAGATATAATTTAAAAATAACGTTTTAAACTGAATGGAAAAAAAAAAATTCAATATTCACTTCGAATTGGTTGTAAATGATTTTCTTTGAATACTTAATGTAAATGATGTTCGTGTAATGTGTATATCATATGCATATGAAATAATAGATTTAAAAATGCTATTACAAAATAAATATTTAACTGATGAATTATTCGGATATATTTGTATGTATATATTAATTTCTTTATATCGAATTTGAACTAAAAAATATAAACGTTACTATGATGAGCACATAATAAATATGTATTTTAAATATTAATTAATAGAGTATTTTTTATATTTTTGGAGTATATAATATATTGTTTAATGCATTGTATATTTAGCCGTATCTTACAAACAACGAGTACAATTAGCAAACAAGTCTCGTTAAACTGTTTAAGTAGATTTCTGATAACTCAATAACTATACAGTTCGACGAGAGAAAATTAAATCATTAATTATTAATTTGTTTTATCGAAAAAGTTAGCCGGATACAGTAGTTTGACTGTTCGAACAAGATGCTGGTAGCAGACATAATTTAGTTGCTTTGAAAATATTCTTGATAATTTAAATGTATATTGACTGGTACAGAAAAATTTGGTTGATTGGTTGTTTTAATAAATTATGTAATAATTGAAATCAGAACACGAATATCTTCAAGATAAATTATGATGACTAGTTTTTATAATATATTAAATTAAATTTGAAATAATTTACATATCTTGTTTTAAATATTCTACAAAAATCAAATAATAATAAATAAGCAAAATGATAAAGTTTTTAGTAGAAATTTAATGTATATTCGAATAATTGAATTATTCTAATATTCGAATATTCAACTTCGAATAGGTTCGCCGTTAATAATTCGAATATATAAATATTTGAATATTCGAACATTCGAATATCACTATTCAATGCTACAATACCTATTATTATTAAACGTTTTGTGTTGCGCGAAAACTTAAACAAATAATTTTCGTTATGTATTGTATTGTAAAATCGAATACTGATATTCGAATGGTCGAATAATCAAGTATTCGAATTATTTACACTGGACCTATTCGAGTTTGAATAATCGAATATTCGAATAATTCCCATCGTTGGTTTTTAGTTAGCAATCGTATTTAGGTTTGTGAAATACCCAACTAATACTGCTGCATCATTTTTATTTTTATCATTTTTGAGAACTATAAGCAGTATGGTTTTTAAAAAAAAAAATTTGTAACACACACATGTTAAGTATTACAAAAGTTAACATAAATCAACCAATTATTTTTTCTAAATAATAATATTATAATGCAATTCAATCATCGTTTAACTATATATTATTTATGATGGTGTCTGCAAATTAAATTCAAAATCAATTAAAATTAAAATTTGGGTTTAAATAGACAAAAAAAGGCAGGGGACTCTAATACATATATCATTTTTAGCGTTTCATATAGTCTCAAACAATTACTAGGTAGGTAATTAATTATAAATGGGTATATATATTATGAAGTGTAGTTAGTGAACAATTTCCTATAAAAACTATTCATGTGCTTTAAATATGTATAAACTTGCAAATTACTTACTAATTGTTTTAAATAATAAATTGTAAATATCTTTATGAAATAAAACAATTAAAAACTAATATATTAGTTAGTATTGTTTGTGGAACACTGTTTTATTGTGAATGATTATTTTTAACAAACAGTGTGCGTTTCAGTAAAATTGTTGGAGGGATCTTAAAAGGGACGGTTTATAAGCGCTGTGAGAGTTTAGAGGAGCTGAGTCCTCTTGCCCCTCCCAACATTGTTGTATACAGACGGTGTACATATTGAACTAAATAAATATTTATCAGTTTCGTTTACTTTTAAAATATTTTAAAAATATTGGTTTACTATAAATATTTTAAATATTCGTTGACCATATTTTGGACTTTGAATAGGCAATCATCTGTTTCAATAATTGAAACTGTAATTATTAACTTTTAATACTGTTTAAGACTTTATATTCCGTTTTTCGCCAATTCCTTCGTCTTGCTCTCACTATGGTTATGGATGTAGAAGGACCAATAATTACAGTTTCCACCTAAAACAGATTTCTGTGTTCCGAATCTTCTCGGATATGTTTCACTGAATAATATGAATGTAAGAAGTACACGAGTTATTGTTTTTGACCTTCATTTATACCTTCGGACCCTAGCCTCCGGGATGCGATAACCCTGGATTCTTGTGATTAATCTACTGCTAAGGTATATATACCTCATCATCATTTTCCTAACCATTTAACTGGTTTCTACTGCAACGCACACACACACCGGAGGTAACGTGAAATTTTTTATTGCACGAGAGAAAAATAGATGCTATGCATCCATTACCATCGCATAAAAATACGTTACTACGGTAGACAGTATATTACTTTGTATACTACGTAAAACCTCTTACTATATTTGAACAATATATAATAAACAGCCATCAGCTCGCCATCCATATTTCCAGGGATACCTTATAGCCGAGGCCCTAGGGGCACAACCATGGAACACCCTATCACAGCGGTTGCCGAACTGTGATGCGTGCATCCCTTGGGAGGCGTAAGGCAAATATTTATATTGTATATTACATTACTTTATTATTACAATTTTGTTTTCAGATCGACAGTAATTTGTTTATGTTTAAACTATAAAAAAAACTTTATTTTATTTATTCGTGGGAGGCCCCATTATTTTTATTTTATTTTTTGCTTCGGTGATCTAAAAAAGTTTGAGAACCGCTACCTTATCATGTCGCCACTACACACACTCAACTATTGTATAAACATGTGTTGGGCTTATGGTACGCGTGGTTTTCCAGTGAATTTACACGTATATACGTATAGTATACGGTCAGAACCTGATGATTTTAAAAATATATATTCGAACGATAAAAGCCGTGACGAATCGTTGAAACCTTTTTGCACGCATGGCTGGACATATATGCGTATCCTGTTACCGGACGACCTACCGGTTGTGTATGATACGTAGTCGTATTTCAGGATAAACATCGTGTCCAACATAATACGTACGCCGATTCCAACTGTACCGAGGCCAAGTCCTCCGTTTGCTGTCTATTTGGAAAGCATCATCGTTCTTGCAATTCGATTTTTAGCGCACGCACAAGATGTTAGTTTTATTATTATTACCATTGTTACTCTAAACTCGGTCGAAAACGTTACGTCGTGTACCCGATTATCAGTCTTCTGTTTGTGTGTACGTCTGTTGATTTGTCGCCGTTTATTTCCGTGTTTCAGAAAAGCGACCAGAAACATTGTGGATGCATGGCTGGTGTCGCACGCTTCGGCCAGCAGTTGCGGCGGAGGCACGGGCAGCGGCGGCGTCGGCGTGGGAAGTAGCGCCGGAACAGCGACGGTCACGTCTGCGGCGGGCAACGAGCGTTCGTCCGCCGTGAGCTCGTCCGGCGGTGGCGGCGGCGGCGGCGGCAACAGCGGCACCACAACGCCGGTGCGCAAGATATCGGCTCACGAGTTCGAACGTGGTGGCCTCAAGTCCATGGTGACCACTGTGGACGGTACGCCCACGTTCCTCGTCCACGAGCATCAGTACGAGACGCCGGTGGCCCGGAGACGGTCCAGGCACGAGCTTCGGCAGCTGGACGAGAAGCAGCTCGTCTTCGAGTTGGTAAGATGGCTTTTGCCCGGTATTCACCCCGAATGCGGATATATATATACCGTGGTCGTGCACGAGAAATCCGTAGAAATTTCGAATGCGAGTTGAAGCGGGGGGACCAACCACATGGTATACCGATAGATATTGTTTGTAACGAAAAAATTGTAGCGATAACATAACGATTATTTTTCTTAATCCATCCTGTAGCTCATTTTTGACGGCAATATTAATGGTACACATAATTCTTTTGTTCCTTGCGATTCCTGTTACGCACCCGTTAATACGATTTTTTGGCCCGGTGCCGTGGGCAAAATTTCAGCAGCTCTTTTATTCCTAGCACATGTGTACACACGCCTGTGTACGAGATACTTTGTAAAATGCTCCTCCCCGGTGCCGATTGAACAGCGATGAATTTACTCGCGAGGGTGTCGGTAGCTATTACACAGATGTTAATACACGCGAGGGACAGTGAGAACTTCTGAGGGACCCGGGACTAATCGGTTTCGGGCCCCTTCCCTTTGCAATTATTTGACCAAGACGCACCAAGATCACTTGGAAATGCTTTGGTACAGAAAAAACATTGTACACAAAGCCGAAACGACGGGCCCTGGGGATCTAACCCCCCTCCCCCCCCCCCCCCGTCCACTTTCTCACCGGCCCTGAACACACGATATGTACACTCGTAATAATACAAAACGTCGCTGACCGCGCACTGCCTTACCATAGGAGGTGTTGTGCGCGACGAACGCTTTATTCGTTTCGGGAATGTCACCTTGTCGCCCCACATGCGAACGCACAAACATCCGTTAATTGAACATTTAAACCTTGGACAAGCGGGGCTAATTAATGCCCCGGCACAAATGCCATCGGAATTGCCATACAAATCAATTGGTCGCGCACCGGGAAGGCGGCGGCGACATCGTGTGCATTCTAATGAACCGCATCTGTACGCGTGCGTGTGTACATTTGAAATGGTAATCAACCACGCGCGGATTTTCCTTTCCGTACGTGTTTCACCCACGTAACATATAGAACGTACGTCGTTGTCGTCGGCGCCGTTCTCCCGCGGCTGCGTTTTGAATTTATGATTCTCGCGAGGATAGGCGTTGCGCGCGCGCGCACGTAGCGCGTATTATTGTCCGCGTAAAACGTGTACGCGCGCACGTACGGTAAGTACGCGTACCGTTGTTGTGATTGTGTGCACTTAACGCGCGTTAGACTTTTGTTATGTGCTTCTCGGAAGTCCGCTCGGAATGGGTTCGCGGATGCAGAATGTATTTTCATCACTGCAAACCGAATCGGTTCCAGTTTTTTTTTTTTTTTTGTTTTTTTTCCCTATCGCATTTCGACCGTTCGGGGTAACATCGCTCTTGTGAAACAACACACCGTTTACGCGTCGTGATAATACTCAGCCGGAAACGATCCCGGTACGGATCGAAACGGCTGCCGGTTAAGGGGTAGGGCAGGAGCGCGGCAACCGCAATGACATGTGTGTAACCACGCGATGGACGTGTTCCAGGTGAAAGACATATGCAACGAGTTGGACGTACGGTCGCTGTGCCACAAGATTCTGCAGAACGTGAGCACGCTGTTGAATGCGGACCGGGGCTCGCTGTTCCTGGTGCAGGGCGGCGGCCTGTCGGCGTGCCAACACGACCACCACCGGGCCAATTCGAAACGCGTGCACAGCCCTCCGAAGCCGCACCCTAGCATCACGGTGGGATGCCTGAGCAAAGACGACCATTCCCATAGCGCGGCGACGGACTCGGACACCTCGTCGGCCGCTGCGGGCACGGCCCCGGTCGCCGCTGCTAGCAGCACCGCAGCCGCGGACCAGCACGGACGTAGCGGCAGTAACAACAACAACCACCACTATCATCACCACCCCCACTACCACAACCACTACCACCACCACCACAACAGCAGCAGCAGCAGCAGCAGCAGCAGCAGCTACTACCATCATAACAGTCGTGACCATCAGCCGTGCAACAATCACCATCATGTTCCTAACGCGCCGCTGATGCCGTCGCCGGTCGTGGCCGTGGCACCGCTCGTCGAGGAGGTAGTAGTCGGCGGTCTGATCGTCGGCTCGCCTGTTGGCTCCACCAACGTGGGCTCGCTAGCGCCCAAGCACGTGGCCTCGCCGCACGTCTACCAGGGCTGCCAGTCCAAGTGTCTGGTGTCCAAACTGTTCGACGTGTGCTCGCGGTCCACGTTGCAGGAGATGGAGAAGAAGAAAGAAATACACATACCATGGGGTACGGGCATCGTCGGCTACGTGGCCGAAAGCGGCGAGCCTGTCAACATACCGGACGCGTACAAGGTGAATATCAGGGGCGTATTTTGACTTACTTCTAAGGGGGAAGGGGGAGGCGACTCAAATTTTTTCTTTAATCCAGACTCAAAATTTACAATTATAATTTTTAGTAATATTTAAATCAGGCGAATCCTTAATATTTGTGGTTTTTTTTTTTTTTAATCTAATGCCGGATCCATTTAGAATCGACTTTTGTGTAGTTATTTTTTAACACCTGTCTGTGTTTTGAAATTTACGCTTGTGTTTTATTTGATTTTTCACTTAGTATGGATCCGACAAAAAGTCCAATTCAGTATTCACAACTACGCGTAATTTGATTTCGTTATAAAATGATCCGCATTAAAAAAATTTTAAATGTGTATCTCATATATAATCGATTCCTTAAATACGGATTCAGAGGGGGACGATCGTCCCTTTGCCCCCCTAAAATACGTCCATGGTGAATATTACTGTTGTTTGTTGTTATTGCGCAACAAAGTCGCACAGGAACTTTGGGCGGATGCGTTCGGAATTAAGGTGTTAAGGAGGATATCCATTTTTTTTTCGTGTGTCCCTAAACACGTCTTTTAGAAAACGATCGTGATGGTCTTATCTTGTTTTGTTTGTTTTCCGGGTGGGACGTGCAACGATGTCGGTAGGATTGCGTTTAACGCAGTACGATTGTATAGCGCATTGGACGAGGGGTGGTATTATTTTGGGGTTTGGTCCACGACATAAACTTTTTTGAGACTTCGGCCCATAAATATTAGTAACGATGTGTTTTTTACCTCCGAACATAGCGTTAAGATACAGTTTCAAGAGTCTTAACACGTTCATCTGTCCCCTATAAATTTGATTTACATTTTTGCGATGATCGATTTGGTCACGTATTATTATTATTATTTAAGTCTTTCGAATCTAATTCAATAACTTTGCGTTTCCGATTCAAATGTCAATTGTCTTCGCTCGAATCGCCTATAACTGTAGTATAAAAGGGTAAAGTTCGTGCGCACAAGTTGGTTATTTGCCCTCTGGCGCCTACTAGAATTTAACGTCTGAGGTACCTTTCGAGTGTCGCATAACATTCGTGAAACATTATATGTTATTGTATCGTGTCAGACAAGATGAAATCATAATGAATACATTTTGACATTTTTTTTACAATAAAATACACAACTATACGCTGTAAATTACAACCGTTAGTGTATAATGTTTAAATTCTTTGGATAACAATATTAGGTACAGTTCAATCGCTTAGTTTTGTAACAATTATATTATTTAGCCTGTTCTTATTTTTATTTGTAAAATAATTAAGTACCCAATCAATAATTAATGTCATTATTATCCCGATTATTTACACTACTTACGGCAACATAATATATATACAAAATAATAGAATGAATCTCAATAATTCTCTGTTCTGTCTATTAATAATTTGTAAAAAAGAGAAAAAATCAAAAATATACTTTAACACAATTTCATATAATTCGTTTTAATTACTGAAAATGCGGAACTATACGAGGATGCTATAAAAGGGAATTTGTATTAATCTTTAAATAATATCCGACAATGGAAAATATATTCGAAATTCAATATTTTGAACATTTTAATTCATAGAAAATAGCTATGCTTTTAATTTTGAAATAAATAACATAATAAGTATTGATTATAAATTCACGATCTTATAGTGATAAACAGAGGCGCAATTTCAATGAAAAAACTGGGGGTGCTGAAGCCTTTCTATCTTTTTCATATTACTTTATGATTATAGACACCGGCAACCCGTACAATTCAACAGTTACTAAAATATTTGGTAAATATTTGAATATTTCTAAGTTTAAATTTTTCACTTTGATTTTATATTTTTATTGCGCATACAACGAATTACCCGTCTATAAACACAATGTTTCATTACATGATCACAATTCTGAGTGAAGCGAATCGGTAAGAATATTATGGTAATATAATGATGTTTGTATTTTACTTTTCAACACTTTTTTGGATAGAAATACTGGTCCAAAAGTTTTTTTTAGGAACTTTTTATATTTTAAATTGACATGTGGTGGTACTTTAGATAGGTCATTTTTTATAATATTTTTAAATTTTAAAAAAATTTCCAGTCGTGAGAAAAAAACTGTCCTGAAACGGCAAAAATACGTTATAAATAAGACTTTCACTTTTCAGATTTTAGTTATTCAGTCATAATTCCAAAAGTAATGTGGCTAGAAATTTGAAAGTCTTACCCTATAGCAAAAATATTTTTTTTCGTATTTAATAAAATATTCAAAAAGCGTATTTGATTTAAATATAGAACTTTAAAAATACCTAATTTTTTGAAAGTCTTTATGTAATAAAATTTTTATTTTTGGATATTAAGTGAAAATTTAATATCATTTAACTCATATACCAGTACTTACTAATTTATCGATAATGAAAAATGTTTAGAAAAATCGTTAGTCTGAAATTAATTTCATAAGCGTACTTTTTTATGCTTGCGATTTTTATAGATTTTACTGTTTTTACATCAATTTTTAACATTAAATATTTATTAAAAAAAATGTGGTCCATCCAATCATAATGAAATTTTGGATAATAAATATTTGGTTAAAAAATAAATAATTTTCTTCGTCAGACAGTAAAATGTTAAATAGGTTGATAAAAAAAGAACCTACCGATAATTAGACTAAAAATGGTAAAATATACTTATAAATCGTTGATTTATATACTAAATCTTTGTTCAGAATCGTTTTGATAAAGAAATGATTTATCAGTTCTTTAAAAATCAGTACATTTACTACTAGGCTTGCCAGTCGTCCTGGTGTCCCGGTCGATCATTCACGATCATTCAGATTATCCCAGAAAATAGAAGCTGATAGAAAATGACATTTAATATACTTATTTTGTGTTCATATCAAAATAAAAAAACAGTCATTCGATAGGTTTGACAGGTTTAGTTTTAAGGATTTCAAAATCTGGCATCACTACCTATTACTATTATCCAGTTCGAGGACCAAAGAGACGAAGGACGAACGTCCACCACCATTATTTAAATAATAAATTTATATATTTATACAATAAAAACTCTGTTTTTCTATACATAATGAGAAATGAGTATTTAAAGGTAAATAAACATGAACAAATTTGAGGGTGCTAATTTCGAAAATGGGGGTGCTTAGGACACCTAAGCCTCCCTCTAAATTGCGCCTATAGTGATAAACGATACCAACATTCTGTGCAAATATTTCAATATGGTTACAACAAATCCATATATTGCCAATTTAGTGTAATTTAATATTTTCTTAAACGTGTATTTATTTCCAATCATCGTATCGATGTTTCGCTTTTCGCATCATCGTTATTTTTGTGGAAAAATTCTTAACGAATTATAAACTTCAAATAAAATAAAAAATACGCGATAATTGTGAATTTTAAATGAGGATGTCTATGTTGATTATAGTTGTGTAATCATTTACCTAAGATCACTCTTTAACCTCGCATACATTGTTGACTAGAAGAACCGGTTTTACAAAAGAAAAAAAAATGCTCTTATTACAGCTATATAGCTGTTACCATTTGAATTGGGAAAAAATTATATTTTTGTTTCTAGTATTACATTACTGTTTGGTCAACGATTTAGACGTTTCGAAGTTTTGAATCTAATCTGACAATATAAACAGTATTAAAAGTTTACCATTTTGAAGAACATAATTGTATAGACTATGGTAGTTATTATACTCACATATCGATGTACATTACTGGTATTAAGCTTTTCAGGATGAATGTTATATTATTCTTATAATAGAAACTTTTACCATATTATTGAATAGAACATCATGTAAATGGTGTGGTTTAAGTCGAACGTATCTTGTTTTTTGTAGAAATCGTGTCGTTAAATTAAAACGTCACCTTTGATGATGTAGTGTTTATTTCCATTTTCACATTTTTTACTGTAAACATATGCTTGGATTTTTTTGACTTGGTGTATGTTTATTTTTCAGGATACCCGTTTTAACCACGACATTGATGCTCGTACCGGATACAAAACGCACAGTTTACTGTGCATGCCGATCAAAGACTTTAACGGTGAAGTGATGGGTGTAGCGCAAGTGAGCGTCAATGAATTATTTTAGACGTTTATGTATTACTGCACGGGTTTGAACGTGTTGCTTATTTTTTTTTAGGTGATCAATAAAAAAAACGCACCGTGTTTTACGCAAAACGACGAGAAAGTTTTTTCGGATTATCTACAATTCTGCGGCATTGGCCTTAGAAACGCACAGCTCTACGAAAAAAGCCAGTTGGAAGTTAAAAGAAATCAGGTGCGGAATTTATTAATTAGACGTGAACCGTCGAATATAGGTCATATTAATATTGTAGTTGAAGTATCTGCTCATTGTATTGTAACTAGGCGCCTTTAATAACAATCGATTTATTATACAGGTTCTATTGGATCTCGTTCGTATGATTTTCGAAGAACAAAGCACAATAGAGCATATGGTTTTTAGAATTCTCACGCACACTCAGTCTCTCATACAGTGCCAGAGGGTCCAGGTAATTGTTTTTTACTATATATCCGGTATGCTTATGGGTTGATAATGATCGCTGTATCGTTCGGGCATTTTGTACATTTTTTATGTCGCCAGGTGTTACTGTTACACGAGGCGTCGAAAGCAAGCTTCTCACGGGTGTTTGACTTTGAGCCCGACGACCTGCAGGGGAAGAACAACGAGCGGACAAGGTAAAGCTTCCATATTTTTCTTCGGAAAAAAAAATAATATGTACCGTGTTTTCATTGCCAGTAAGAGATTAAACAATTTATTTGTTCATCTTATTCTCGTCTACTCTTTAGGAACTGTGTTGTTACTAATAGTACTGTAATTTTCCAGCCCCTTCGAAAACAGATTTCCGGTTAACTTTGGCATAACAAGTTATGTGGCCACTACCGGAGAGGTAAGTGTTTTTTGTATATATGCCGGTATTAAACTTTTATTAAACTTATTAAACTTTTTTTAACATTGTTTAAACTTATTTTGTGATTTAAAAACATTTTTAGACCGTCAATATTTCCAACGCTTACGAAGACCCGCGGTTCGATAAATCGGTGGACAAAAACACCGGTTTCACACACTCCACTGTGCTATGCATGCCGATCAAAAATTCATCAAGCCAAATCATCGGAGTTATACAAGTAATAAATTATTCATTGAATACGTTAGATTTGCCTTCATTAATGATTATTAACATTATTTCGTTTTTAAAATATTAACAGGTATTTAGTAATTATATGTTCAACAGTTTAAATAAATAAATATTTTTCTCACATTCATATTTAAATATTTATCATGCTTAATGTGTTACAGTTAGTCAACAAGTTTGATGATCTCGTATTTACCAAAAATGATGAGAATTTTGTGGAAGCATTTGCTATATTTTGTGGCATGGGAATACACAATACACACATGTAAGTAAGTGAAAGTGCTTAAAGTCCAAAATGCACTAGGCATGTATGCCAATATTTCAGATCTGTTTTGCATTTATTTCATACTCATGTTTTTAATTTGTAGGTTTGAAAAAGCCATGATTGCTAATGCAAAACAAAATGTCACATTAGATGTACTTAGTTATCACGCTTCAGCTTCGTTGGATGATGCACAAAGACTAAGGGTATCTATAGTTTTAAATCTTTTTTATTTATATCTCATCTTCTTCAACCATATTTAAATTTCAATTTTATTCCCATTTTTTATTTTAGGCTTTACAAGTGCCATCAGCCGCTAGATACCTTTTGTACGATTTTTCTTTTGACGATATCAATTTGACCGATGATGACACACTTTTGGTAAGAATATTTTTGTATTTATTTTTTAATGCTAATCAATTGCAACTTAACCATTAGAGATGAGCAATTAATTATTATAAAACTACTAAATAATTAGTTCATCAACTAATTATTTGAAATGTTTATGTATAGATACTGAAAATACCAAAATATTAGAAATTATTATAAAATAAATCAACTAACAGTTATAATCATAAATAATATTAAGTACCTAAGTACTAAGAAAAATAAATGGTATTGAAAATTCTTTCAGCTCTAGAAATATGAATTTTTTTTATATAATTCACCTTAAAGCTCATTATGTGTCTTGAACCAAATATTACAAATCAAGCTTTAAATAGTTGACAAACCTTTATGAAGCTAAGCTCATGTTCTTTTATTGAGAAATTATCGAATGGCATGTGAAAAAATGAGAAATAATCAAAAAAGAAAATCTTTCCAATTTTATATTTGATTGAATTGGAAATATGAGGATCCACTCGACTGTTTTAAGTAGAATTTTGTCTTTTATTTAAATATTGAAGTAGGTATAAGAATAGATAATATATATGTTTTTAAACTAGTATTTCTATTTTGTAAATCTGTTTAATTAAATAATTTATTAAAAGTAAGATGAATAATGTTTAACTATATTAATTTATTGTAACTACTCGATTTTACTTATTGGTACCTATTATTTGTTGTTATTAAGAGAATGCTATACTCGAGTATTCTTTCCCATAGGCCAATCTAACTAGAAATTAAATAATATTTCAGTTCACAAAATAAAAATGGTGGTGCTAGGATTTTGTTATAGTTTAAATAACTATTATTAAATTGAAATAGAAAGATATTTCCAAAAACCGCATATCCTTTTTGCCTAACATTGTTTTTTTAGAGAAATTATAGGGTTTAACATTTCCACATGTATTAAAAAAAGTATGTGACATTATCTCAGAAATATTCTTCCTTTTAAATTTCATTATAAGTATTGTAATTATCATATTAATCTAGACGCTATGTTTTTGTTATTCATAAAATATAGTAGGCTATATTACCTATGTCCTGTTGGAAAGACTGAGTATTATACGCTGTATTGAACATCACATGGGTACCATGTCTTTTAGAAGAAAGGAAATAAATTATAATTATATACTGAAAATTTAGTTAACCCATTTTTTTTAACTAACGTCCATAATAAATAATGTCAGGGTCATAATTTGTGTGTTAAGGTCATAACTCACAACCAACCTGTATTCTCTCATTATCAGTTTATTTTATCCAATAATAACAATAATTTTTCTTCTTCTAGGCGAGTATAAGAATGTTCAAAGATATGGCACTAGTTGAACGGTTTCATATTGATGAACAGGTTTTATGTCGTTGGCTGTTAAGTGTCAAAAAAAACTATCGATCAGTGACCTATCACAATTGGAGGCATGCATTCAATGTCGCTCAAATGATGTTTTCTATTATAAAGGTATATAAACAATAACTATTAATACTTAACCAATATACATATATATTTACTTATCTATTTTAGGCTACTCAGTGGTGGAGAGATACTTTTGGTCCTTTGGAATGTCTCGCACTTATTATTGCCTGCCTTTGTCACGATTTGGACCATCGTGGAACAAACAATTCCTTCCAAGTCAGGTAAAATTCACAGAAAATGAAGTTTTATATTAAATTATTCTATATATTTTTAATTGCTTTTAGAGTTGATTCACCACTTGCACGACTCTATTCAACCTCTACCATGGAACATCACCATTTCGATCAGTGTTTAATGATATTAAATAGTCCAGTATGTCGTATGTTGTTTTTAATAATATATCTCATGTCATAACTGACTATCATATTTTTATTTTTTTAGGGAAATCAAATTTTAAGTAACTTATCACCGGATGAGTATTCTTGCATTATCAAAGTATTAGAAGATGCTATATTAGCTACTGATTTAGCCGTATACTCCAGGTTAGATGACATTAAATTATTTTAATGAAAGAGAATTGGATGTAACTGCCTATATGAATTAGTGATACAAATAGTAGTTTAGAAGTATAATTTTTTTACTTAATGACTGCATAATGTTAAATTAAGAATTTTAAAACATTTCTATTTTATCTTACCACAGAATCTCATGATATTGACTACCAATATTCTATTCTTAAAAGTTAAAAAAAAAAAAATTGTGTAAGAAAGTTTCTAAGAACATTTTTTTTATTTATTTATTCTAAATAATTATTGATGAGATTTAGTAAGATCAAAATGAAAATACTGAAAAATTAATCACTGTTTAAACTCAACATTAGGTCATATAGTCATTAACCCACATCACATCATTAGATAAGACTAAATTGAAAATATAGTGTATTTTTAAATTATTATGTAAGTATTGCACGTGTTGCACAAAAGCAGAAAATTACTGATTCCAATTCCTTTGAGTATTACTAAACTGAAATTTTTATTTTTTTAATAAATTAAATCCAAACCTTTAAATAATTAAAACTCAAATAATTTTTTAACACATGTTATTTTGACACAATTATTATATATATAGTGGTGTATTAATAAATTATATTTATATGCACTAATAAAATATGGATATTAATCTTAAAAATGTGTTCTCGCTTTGCTATAAAATTTTTTTCTCTCATTGTGTTCAAATACATTAAATTAATCCCTTACTTGTTTATAACTTCTAATAAGGCTATAAAATGCAACACCACAAAATATACATTTGTTGCGTGTTATAAATTACATGATGCAGATTTAAGAACTATGATTTGAATGCCTATACTCTATATTATATTTAATAATATCTATTTTTCAAAATGTTATTTACTAAATTGAATTTACAATACATTAAACACAACATACCCTGAAATCTTCAAGAGATAAATATTTCATTTAAACTTCATAGTTCATAACAATTTTTACCAATGAACTATTATATATATATATATTTTTTTTTTGGTTTTCGAGTTATTTTAGAAGTGTAAAACTGTAAGATAATATTTTACATTATATACCTATATGCAGAAAATTAAAAATCTACAAACGGGTATACGATATATACTAACCTAACCAATACACTCCTGTATATATACATTTATAATATGTATGTTTGTTAATTAATATTTTAATCGACATTCTTATTTCTTATACATATAGCAAGCGAGTAAAATTTTTAGAACTAGTTCATACGGGCAAACACGATTGGACCAAAGAAGAAGATCGGGAATTATTCAGGGCAATGCTAATGACTGTGTGCGATTTAGCTGCTATAACCAAACCTTGGGAGATTCAAAAACGAGTATGTTTTACATAAATAATACATTTTTATTTTGTTTTATCTAATAATTAAATTCATTAATTATTATTTAATTATATAATTATAAAATTATTTTATTTATTATTATCAAATTAATTATAAAGAAATATGTAAAGTAAAATAATTAAAATATAATTTTTTTTTTAAAAAAAGGTTTACTGTTAATCCAAACTTAGGCTGATAAAAGTTATTAGAACTAAATTTGCTATTTTATATGTTTTTTTATATATGAAAAATGTTCTTTTAAATAAACAATAACTTCAATTTTATATTTATAAGAATAGTCTATATTATATTATCTACACTGAGTTAAAAGTTAACCGAAATATTAAAAACTAAATTCTAAGCTAAAATTTGACCTTATTTCACTCTGAAAATACAAGACTCACATGAAATATGATGACATTTTTTATTTTTTAGCTATGTTTCAATTTAAATTTATAGTTGTTATGTAGAACTATCCAGCCATTTTTTAATCTTTCAATTTTTTTGTCATCTATTACTTTTGTGTAGTACAAACATTTCTTTAGATTTTAATTAAAATTGTAATAATAATAAAAAAAAAATCCATTTTAATGGATAAGAAAATGTATTTGTATTACTTTTTTTTTAACTCTACATATGGTATTTAGGTGGCAGAATTGGTGACTAATGAATTTTTTGAACAAGGTGATATAGAAAGAAGAAATTTTAATTTGACTCCAAGTGTAAGTATATATTATACAAACAAATTTTTATATTTTTAATGTTTAACAAATGTAATGTTTGTTACACATTTAACATTATTGTTTCATGTATATGTATTATTTTTTTATTTTAGGACCAAATGGATCGAGACAAAAAAGATCAGTTACCAATGATGCAAGTTGGATTCATTGACTCTGTTTGCTTACCAATATATCGGGTGTGTTGAAATTTGATATTATTTTCCAATATCTATAGGGATATTTCAATTTACATAATTTAAATGTATTTTATTTTTTATAGAGTTTAATTTAATTCAAAATCAGTATAACTATTATAGTTAGAAAATATTTATTTTGCTGTTAATATTTAATTATGTTTTTGTATTGTTGTTTAAAAACCAGATAATCAAATATGAATTATTAATTATGCTAACTATTATTTATTAACAGGCGATTGCTGATTTGTCAGATACACTTGAGCCATTGATTGAAGGAATAGAACGGAACAAGGCTCATTGGTTAGAAGAATCAAAACAAACATACCGCCCACAGAGTCATAACTAGATGTGTAAAATAATAATATGTGTTTGTGTTTTTGTTTGTACGTATGTATGTATAGTGAGTGTGTATGTGTGTATCTACCCATATTTTCAAACTAGACATTGTCCACACATTTGATATAACCAATCTACCTAATTTCCTTCTCATTAGAATATAAGACTTGAAAGAACATAAATATTATTTTACCTTGTATGTTTAGTTATAAACACAATAGTATTTTTTGTGTTTTTCTTGTATTTTGTACCACCTACCTTTTAATAAGAGATAGATATACTAAATATATACTATACAATATATGTTAAGTTTATTCCAATGCAATGTATTCTTAAAAGACCACGTGTTAACAGAAAAATTAAGGTTAATCTGTTTTTATTTATTGAATGCCTATTACACAACTTTATGTGACGAGTTTGTGTACCTTTTATTTAAGTATTTTTTTTCTTTTGTTTATCATATTATTTTATTAAAGCAATAAAAAATATTACTTAAACAACAAAATAAATGCATAAAATTAGTATTTGAACTACCTTGCTAATTCTGTTTTTAATGTTAATTCTTCAATATTAGTTTTAGATTAGATTTAGATTATCACAGTTACCTACAGACATGTTTTAAATTCTATATTTTGAAAAATTTCTAAGAACAAATAATCTCCAAGACGTTTCCTATTGTTATTTTAAGTTTCCTTAACTCAACATTACTTCATTTTTATTTTCTAAGATTTGAGTAGTATGAAGTGTAATTATAAGTATTATCATTTGAAATTAAATTTGTATTAAGTGCTTTTATGTATAATTTTAACAATCAAATTATTATAATGTTGTATTTTCTTTAAAATTGAACTAATTTAGTGTTAATATTGATTGAGACAATTTTTATGCTTAAAATAATAAGGTAAATAGGATTGAATGAAGTCTATACATTTGGTGCATATTATGTTATGTTTTATTATATTATTCATAGACAAAGTATTGTCACTAATAAACATTTATAATGTGACATGAACACTTTGTAAGTATTATATAACATAATTCCAATATGTTCTAAGCGTATATATTCACATGGAACTTGACATTTTTATCAGTAGACCACATAATGTAGCATTACAAAGCAAAACAATTAAATGCGTAATGATATTTATTTAATTATTAAAGGCAAAATGTGTTCATCATTTATTAATCATAATATTTTTAAATTTATTTAATAGATACATGGGATAACTAATAAAAAAATAAAAGCTGAAATTTAAAAAATCAAATTAATATTTTTGTAAATATTATGTTCAAGTTATTAGTATTTTTTTGTACACCTTGTTGATATCTAAAATATATACTCTCCCAAGAAGTTGTCTCTAGATAACGTTTACTCTATGAGAAATGTGCTAGGGTTAAGTACTTTTGACATAGAGGACCAAAAAAAAAAAAAAAAAACCAGAACACTAAATTCTTCTTGGCTTACCCACTGGTTCTAAGTTTATCTAACGAGCCAACATTTAGTCTTTACATTTATCTTATAACATTTATTTATTATTAATATAAATTATAAATGATTCATATTCAAGTGGATTCCTGAATTTTTGATTTATAATATTTCAGTTAATTTGATATTTCCACTTTGCTGAAATCTCATTTGAAATAATTTTGCAAGTAGAATATATTTGTTTTTACGAGATCTACTTCATCTTTGATTAGGGTGAATTGAAATACTAAATACATTTTTTTTTTTAAAAAAAAAAAATAGGCAATGTTTTGAATTTATTGATATAATTTTCAAATTTTTCTGATTATTATAAGATAATATAATAAGTATATAAAGTATTATAAATATAAACATTATGGTTTTCAGCAGCTTTTCTTAGAGACAATTCATTTTTTACATCTTCAGCTGCAGCATTCAAATCAACATCATTCCTTTTCGAATATTGTTTTTCTCTAGGATCAGAAATGTAAACTCTAGGCATCTTTTTTATTTAATTTTAAGTCGAAATATACAATCAATGATAGCATATGTTGAGAAAAGAAGCCACTTAATTGTAGATTTCCAAGAATTGTTATTTGGATAAATTTTATATTTTATTACCCGTATCATATTATTTTTTTTGTTTTAATAAATAGATCTCTGCACCATTTACGTTTTAAGCGTCAAGTAAGACTACTTGGAATATGAAATCTTTCATAGAAATATTTAGCTTCTTCATCATTAGTTGTTTTTAATTTTAGGTCTGAATGGAGAGAATAACGTGGCATAATTTAAGCATCTAAAAAAACAACACATTTTTGGTATTTATGTTTCTAAAATTTATATCAAATTGTATTTACATGTATTTACATTTTTGTTTTATAAATTTTTGAAAAATTTACAATATATTCTGTACGAAAAAAAAATAAATATTTTGATAATGAAATTTTAATAATACAACCCAACCAAGATTTTGAATATATTAAAATGAGTAAAATGATAAATGCGAAGGAAATATTTTCCTATGAATATAGTATTAATCCGATCACGGTGATTTTTTTCTCCATGGATAACAGTTATCACTACGAATTAAATTCTTATGTTTTCAAAATTATTACATTAAAATTGAATAATCGTCGAGAATAATAAGCAAGTTACTGAAGATTTGTTGCAATTCACCTCGTTTTACGGTTGGTACGTACACTTAATGACGCCTAGATTTATTGTAAAATGTAGAAACTGTCAGAATTTAACAAAGGCAACACTAGAGGTGCACATTTTCACAACTCGTTTGCGCACAATTTCCCTTCACACTTATACAGACTTAGTACTGTTAGGAAAAAAAAAAATGAAAAACAAAAGACGGCAATATAAAATAACAAATAGAACAACTTTATTATATGAAAAAAAAACTAGTCGACGACCGCACGGAGCAAGAACCAAGAGCCCCGGTACTCCTATGGTTTCCGCGGATAATAATCTAATTAAAAAAAAAAAAATGCAGTAAGATCAACACTGCGCCCACCATACCCGGCAACCGGAACAGTGTTGCCATCGCTTACATTCGGCCGTCCTGTCGTAAGGGCCGCCTTCGGGCCTTTTATATAATAAAAAAAGTAACTAAATTTAACGAATGTTATTAGTTAACAATTACGTACAAAAAAACAATAAAATTATTGCAAACAAAAAATATAAATACTCTTGACCATAATCATGAAGCAAGCCCGGTTGTTTATACGACGGGCGTTTGTGTGTTAAGCACTCCAAACACATACTTATATGCCGTACATACAGGCGTAAACAGGAGAACCAGAAATCTTTGGGGATTTTTGCCACTGTCCGATCTAACGCGAAATGCCCTCCGTAATAATGGCGGCGATGACGATCCCTTTTCGCTTTGGATTTGGCACAACCAATAACAAACGTCCATTGTACTTACGGTAAAAAATACCATCTATTACTTCATAATTAATGAGGTCGTCTGTCGTTTGTTTAGTTTTTGGTCCGATGATTTCCAATTGTTTAATCCGGTCCCTTGTCGGTGGGTCACCCTGTTGCATTAAGCGTACTCTATCTCGCGTGGACTTCACGACAAAAACGTAGGCACGTCGCACAGTGGGATAAAAATCAATTTACCTAACTTCATTTAATTATTTATATCATGTTATTTTAGTAGAATAATATTATTTTACAGATATCATAAAATTAAATTATAAGTCACGTTTCTGTTGAATTTATTCACTCGACGACGTGGAAACTTAATTTTCACTACTAATATCTGACTCTGTTTCTATTGTTTTTATGTTGATGTCTGGAGGCAAAATAATTTCCAATACTTCTGGGTGAATATGTTTAATATTTTTTTGAGGTAGTTGCCTTAGACAGGTAATAAATGGATCAGAACTTACTAAAAGTCTATTAAAAACATGGAAATTAAATATAATTTTTCAAAATATTATATAAATATTATTCACTCACTGAATCAATAATACTACCCTGTGATTTTAAAATTCTTTGAGTAGTTATATCTAATAATGCTTGTAATTTCACTTCAGCACAACTTTCTGTTATTTGCAAACATTTGCAAACAAGATTTATCAGGATAACATTCATTTTTTGCGTACCTTAAAAGATAATACGCAGGATAAATATTACAACCATGTTTTTTTGCCTGTGTCCTAATTAAAGTGTATTGATGCTTTGTCAAATAAGCCTCAATAAGCAAAGAAAGAGCTTCATTAGAAATAACCTTAATTTTATTTTTACTGTCTTTATAAGATTTGTTGTACTTTGAAGCTCTTGTAGGTATTGTACACGTAATATTTTTTATAACGTAAGAACTATCTACATTTTCAGATTTTCTTAGAGACATTTGAGCAGCATATGAAAGCATAGTTGGACTATATTGGGTACGTAATTATTCCGTTTTTCTTCTTTTTGATCGATCACTATTATCATGAAATGATGTAGAAGGCCGACCTCTAGATTTGCCCGACTGAGTTGAAATCTTTGAAGGAAAATGTATTTCAGAGTCTAACGAGATTTTATTTTTTAATAGAAATATGTTATTTTTTCTCTGTGATGATTGCCATTTAGATTTAAACTCACTAATGAAGTATGATAATAATTTATTTAAGGAATTTCCAGACATTCTGTTAATGTAATTAAACGTTTCTTTAAATGGTCAAATCGTTCAGTAAATTGTTTAGCATTAATTTCTTGCATTATATGAAATAATGTTCTCCGACTTAAAGACATATGATTATCACCAGATCCTAAAATATTATAATATTATAACATTAGTATAAAAATACAAAGTGTAGTTTGAATATAAACAATTTTAATACGTTTAATCACATGTAATCACATGTATGTGAATCAAAAGTAATTTACACAATAAAGTGCAAGTATGCGCAATTGTTTTTTAATTTTTTTGAAACTGCATAACATACACTAAAAAAAGATAAGATTGTATGGACTCGGACTATCTTGGAAGTTTACTAAAATAAATGATGAATTTTGTGTTTGTATATTTTATTTTAATTCTTGTATTTTTTATTAAAATTATATATAAAAATATAAAGATAAATTGATTTTATATTTTATTAAACTTAAATACTATATACATACCTCCAGGTAACGAGTTCATTTTTTTTTTTTTCGTAAAAATAACTATAATACACAAAATATCAGCTATGTTCTAACTAAACTTTTTGTATAGAATAATACCGACGTGCGCGTCGTATCTGTAATGCCATACTCTGGGGTATTATTGCAATACAATTAATACTGATAACTACGTAAAATATTACGTAATTGCTTTAATATTATCTCTATTAGATAAACTATCAACAATTATCATGCTAAATGCATTTTGAAATTTCTAATTTTGGCCAGGTTTTTATGACAATATCCCACTGTGCGTCGTGAGAGCTCCGCGTCTACTGATTCGGCGGCGACATCATTGTCAATAACC